AATAGAGGTGATTTCACATACGTACTTTGGATCTCAGGCCAGGACTCATGCTCAGAGTGTAATACTGCCCTTGGCCATGGGGTGAGAGGCGAGGGCAGAGAATCAGCCTGCATCAGCAGGGATAACCACCCATCAGCTACCTCCCCAGCCCAGACAGGAGCTCTTCACTTCCACCAGTCACTCCCATTCCCTCTGGCCACGGCAAGGGCTGCTCAAGTGGGATTTGCTTAAAACCTCTTGCTGTAAAATAAATCCATTAAACTAAACTCTAAAAACAAACCCAGAAAGCCACCTCCCCAAACGCCAAACCTGATTCAATTATTGTAGCGAGAGGCAGTGGTAACGTTAGGAGGAGGAGGGGGTGGCAAGGCAGATCTGGTTTCCTTTGATCTTGTCACAGATTTTAGTTTGAGGCCAGCCAAAGCCATTCTTCTCCCCTTCTCCTTAGTCCTGGGGCAGCAGAATGCTGCTGTTTCATTGATGACTTCCAAGGCCCTTTGAAACAGTGGGTTTTTTCTGTGTACTGCTTTTTTTTTGTCTAATCGGTAAGAAGTTAACACTTCCTTAACATGTCTTTGTGTTCATCTAATCTCTGCTGTTTAACCTTTGACATCTCCCTTATTATCCATGTCTGCCACCTTTTCCAAATACCGACAGCAGTGACAACACAGAACGGTTTGAGCCCTGCGGTAACAAGCCGTGTACATTCCTCCCACTGCACCGGGAGAGCCATTTGCTCTTTGTAGCTGTTTTCACCGTGACTTGGAAAATAAACTGCAATTTGGGCAGAGGTAGCTAAAGAGGCCAAGCCTCACACACAGCCAGCTGAATGGAGGACCACCTCTCATGGCATGACAGCAGCCACTGCCTCTTCCCATTCTGCTCCAGGCACCTCAGTACCGGCCACAGGCCAATTCCTTGGAGAGGACTGCCCACAAGAGTGTTGGAAGAGATTAAGAATCCAACCATGCCTCTGGGTGAGCACAGGACCACCAGCTAGTAGTAGAGAAGCAGTAGATGCAGGGCGAGCCATGGCAAGCAAGAAAGATCTCAGGCAAACACAGACACAAGTCTACAGAGTTCTGGCCCCAAAGTCTTAGGAAATCTCTTTGCTGCCTAGAGAGCTTTTAATCTCTCCAGTTCTGAGACATATCACCTTTCCTTCATCCTGAGCAAAGCCCAAGGTTTGGTTGGTGGAGAGACATAGGCTGGACAGGGAGCTGGCAAAAACCTCCCCGTCCTCTGCTTGGATGTGAGAGGTTATTGGAAGACTGGGATAGAAACCAGGAAAAGAACAACTAGGAGAGCTGTAAGTGCAGGTGAGCATCACAGCCACCATGTGGGCTGCATGGAGACACTTCAGAGCAGAGGCTTGAGTGACTGTGGACAGCTACACCTGGAGATCTGCTCCCAGGGCTATGCCTGAGCACCACCATGCCACCAAAGCAAGAAGTTTATCTAGAAAGAACAGCAAGAAGTCAAAAAGATGGGTTTAGGAAGGATTGCAACACAAAATGGTGCATCACTCAGAAAAGTAAGTCATACAGCACAAGAGCTTTGACAGCTGTTTTGACAAAAGCTAAATGGATCTGCTAGAGGGAACGAGAGGCCACGAGCAGGGACAAAGATAAGGGACACCTCTTGGTAGGGCTGAGTAGTCTATGCCTAACCATGTCTGTTATTACTTAAGGGCAAGCTGGAGGGACCAAGCCTGCTCTCACACACCAAAACACTTCAGGACTTTGCCAGCTCTGATTTCCAGTTTGGAGGTTTGTTTCTAGTGCTCCTGCCAGCCTGGGGGCACCGGCACGCAAACAACATGGTACAGGGGCCTCCTGCCAACCCTGAGAGATCTATGGAGCTCATCTACACCTTGTAAAACAGCAGTCTGTGTCTCAGCACTGCTAGCAGAGAAATAGAAACCCCACCTTCCTTAATTCTGTCTCCTCTCTCATTTGTAGGTACTATAAAAAGTTCTCTATTCCTGATCTGGACCGATACCACCTCCCCTTGGACGCAGCTGCCCTGAGCTTCGCCCATGCCAACAACACCCTGATCATCACGGTGAGGTTTTAGCAACACAGAACAGCACTTTGCCGTTCTCTTTATGCCCACAAAGAAGTTAAAATTCTTACACGTGGGGAAATGAGGCAGAGCAGGAAGATCTGCTGAGGGTCACTGATGAGCCCCCTTCTCTGTCACACAGTCAGTGAGAGTTTCAGATTACACTGGGCATGCTGACACTAGCCAGGAGAGCCCAGACTGCAGGAGGGGCCCTGCCTACTTCTAAAGGTGACTTGCAGGTGGAAGAGTGTCTGTCATGCCCTATTTTCCACATATCCTCTCTGTCAGGCCTGAGCAAGCCTCTACTCTCAGTAACAATAAGTTTCTCTTGGCTCTAAACATAAGAGTCCAAGGACCTGATGCACTTAGAGGTCTCTCAATCTTAAAAAAAAAAAAAAAAATCACCTGCTGCTTTGTGTCAGAGAGGGAATACTCCTACACACATGGTGGTAGCAAGAGACACGCTCCTTATTGCAAGGAGCAGACAGATGCTTTTGAGCAGCAGGTGCTTGTCTTCTTCAATGCAGAAGTCAGCTACCCAGAGGGCATGCCCTCTGCAGGAAACCTCGCAGCAGAGCTGGGGTGCACGTGCAGAGGAGATGGGCCAAGGGGAGCACCTTGAGTGCTCCTGAGCTTCTGTTTGCTACGGGCCAAAAAGCACCTGCATCCACTACTAAACTGCAGCTGAGCGAGGGGCCTCTGAGGGGTGAACAGAGGAACTGTAACTCTTACTTCTCTCTGCATTTAAAAAAAAAAAAAGAATTTTATACATATATATATATATAAATATATATATATAAATAACACTCATGAACATACAGTTAGTGAGCACAGCAAGGATTTGCTTGACAGGATATTCCAGAGGGGTTGGTGGGGGCCAATTGGAAAGTTCTATTTGCACTGTAAAAGATGCTCTGGATCTTGGAAAATGTCCTTAGCTTGATGGCACCACCTCTCCAAATGGGCTTCAGAGGCAGCTGATATCAGCAAGGCCTCCCTTGGCAGGAGGGCCCTGCTGGGCTGGTAGCACCCAGCCCCAGTTGGTCTGCTTGGAGAAGAGACTGACCAGGAGTGCTTAGGGAATGTCTCTCTGTCCTACAGTACCAGAAGCCGAAGGAGATCCTGGCCGCAGAAGAACAGCTGCAGAAGGAGCTGAAGAAGATAAAGGCAGCTAACAGTGGGGATGGAGACTGTAAGACCCAGTAGGCAGTGGCTGCTCAGAGGTTGAGGTGAGGGGCAGCTCTCTGGCACAGCTTCATGGTATTTATTTTGCCTTATCTAATAAAAATTAGTTCTGTTGTTAATTGCGCCATTTGGAGGAATCTTTGTAGGCCCGGGGAGATGGCAGGGCAGTTGATCTGTCTGCTGCCTGGTCTGCTGATTTATGCAGACATTTTATAGAACCATAGAATGGTTTGGGTTGGAAGAGACCTTAAAGATCATCTCGTCCCAACCCTGCTGCCATGGGCAGGGACACCTTCCACTAGTTGAGGTTGCTCAAAGCCTCATCCAACTTGGCTTTGAACACTTCTAGGGATGGGGATGATCCTTCTATGAGTTGTGGAAAGCTGCAGCACACAAAGGAAGCACACCACATCCACAGCCAGCAGCCCTGTCCCCATCCTCCATGAGCAACATGACACCTGGCTAGTTCCCCTTGGGAATTCCCTCTGTCTGCCACCATCACCATCACCATCAAAGGCAGTAATGTTTGGAAAACAAGAATACCCTCCTCACCCCCTTTACCTGCCTGGGATATGCTTGGAAGCAATTCCCTCCTGTGCGGTTGTGCAGGTCCTCCGTGCAGTGAGAAGGATGCTCTGGTGACCCTGGTATCTCTGCAAACAGCACCAGTGCTTAGACCTGAGTGGGCACAGCCTATGAAACAGCTGCTCCCTCACCGTGCACAAAGTGACATGGCTGTGCAGGAACCGAAAGGCAGCTGCCTTCATTTGCATGGCAGAGGGGGAAGCAGTGGCTGGGTCACTGACCAGCTCAGGAGCAGCAGTAGCCCACCCTTCTGTGAAGGCACAAACATGGCCATTGCAAACCTCACTGCACAGGAACAAGCCAAACAACTTGCTCCTTTCCAACTGCCCTCCAACAGCCACCCCTGTGCTTAGATTTCTGAATGTTGTTCCATCCCAGTCCATACTTGAACAGTTCCTATCCAAACAAACCCTACCTTCAAGTGAGCTGCTCATGGGCTCCTAGCATAGCTCCCCTGAGTGGGGTTGCTTTCAAACCACAAAAACTCCTTAGAGCACAGGGCTCCAGCAAACATCCTCCTCCAATTCTTGTGCATCACAAGGGAAGATCAGCCTCTTGACAGTGGAAATCAACCTGTTGAGTTCTAACAAAGCACCATGCTGAGTGCCTCACCATAGAAATGCTCCCAGTTTGTGATACAAACCTCTCCTTTACCTAGCCAGGACACCTAAACTCAGAGCCAAGTAGGGTTCATGCACCTCCTTCCCCAAGGAGGGTCAGATCCCAGACACCACTGTATTCACCCACAGCACATTCATCCACACCCATGCAGACAGCACAGAGCACACTGAAAGCTATGGTTGTTCAGAGACCCAAGTTGGGTTCAAAAGGATGACACAAAAAGGAGCAGAGCCCACTTGAATGTGTTTACAGGATCCCAGTAAATCACATCCAGGTGTTTGCACTAGTCTGTTTTGCTGCTTCATTATGCAGGCAGCAAATGAGTCACAGATCCTACTTTTTGAATTCTTGTTTGAAAAGTGACAGGTAATCCAAGATCCCAGGAATACCTTCAATGTAGCAGTGTCACAGGGTCTAGCCAGGGAAAGAGCTCTATCACACAGCTTCTAACCTACCTTAACCCAACCTCCCCTACACAGCCAGGCCCCTGCAATCAGCAGGTAATGTTGCAGCCCCTTTGGAACTTGAAACAAAATATACATCTCTTTTGTTTCCCTTCAGTTTTATTTAGCAAAACATGACCATTTCAGCCCTGCCAAGTGCACAGCCTGACCTTACAGCCAGCTTGGGGAGGCACACACTGAAAGCAGGGCTGGCTCTGCCTTTTAGCTCAGTTGTTACTCTTGGCTGTGAAGGACAACACAAGCAGCTGTCAGGAGAGAAAGTGCACGAGAAAGGTGGGCCCCAGTCCAGGGACCTTTCCCTTCCACCAAATCAGTCCACCCCACACATAGCCTAGACTTGCTTCAAATGGCTCAGAGCTTGGCTGATCTCAGCCTGACCAGCGCACACAGCTGATAGGGCATTCTGGCTCAACTTGCCCTCCAAAGACTGTATCCACAGGAAAAGTAAGAGGGTAAAAAAAGAAAAAAAGTAACACAGTTAATAAAACAAACCCTAACTTGCACAAAATAAAAAGGGTAGAGGACAGTTGGCCATTTATTTCCACTAACAGGCAGGTGAGGTTGAGAAAGTTTGACCCTTTTGTGCAGTCTTCATTGTAGCTTTCTGGCAGGCAAAAAAGTCCCTTCAGAAGCCTTGTGGGCCATTCTCACCTCTCCTGCCCTGCAATTCCCTGAGCCGAGTGTCAGCTCTGCTGCGTTGGGGTGACCAGAAACAGCTGTGGTGCTCCTCAGGGGGCTGTGAAGTCCAGGACGTGCAGTGCTGATGCCAGGGCAGCATATAGGTGGGTGGTACTGAAACGGAGGCAGTATACTGGGCTGCTGGTGGGTGAAGACAGGTGAAAGCTCTGCAAGAAAACAGGAGAATCAGCCTTTCAGAGAAGAGGTCAGCCTAAAGACCCTGGTAGGTGTTACAGATCCGAGGCTGAGATACTTGAGAGAAGCAGGTTTTCCCTGCATATATAGGTTAGGTTCCCCACAGTGGGCTCACCCCAAGGACGGCCCAGCAGCCTCTCTCTCTTTTTGCAAAGACACATGGGCATTGGGCTGCCAGAGAACAGCTCTGCTGCTGCCCAGCCTCCAGCCAGCACTCACCTGCAGGCACTGAGTCTGTCGCTTGTCCCAGAGGCGCACCACGCCGTAGTAAGAAGAGCCACTGGCAATCATATGGTTCTTATCACTCCTTATGCAGTACAGGGCACTGTCATGGGGCTCTTCCCACTCCTGGACGCACTTCCTGCAAAGGCAGCACAAACCAGAGTGTGACTGAGTCTCTACTCCTCCACCCAATTTGCCCAAAAGAGCTAATTTGGCAACAGTCGAGTTCCAGGCACTGCACAAGGGAAGTCCAGGAGCCTCACGAGGGCCTCAGGTGGCAGCAGGCTGGCTCACCTGGTGCTGGTCCGTATGTCCCAGTAGCGGATGTAGGTGTCATACCCACAAGAAAGGAGAAGGGAGGGTGTTTCATAGAAGACATCAAGGACTCCAGCTCCACGGTGGAAGTCGGTCCCTAAACAGGTCAACAGCTGACCACTGCAATGAAACACAACCGAGAAAGAGTCATTCAGAGTAAAAGAGCTCTTCCAATTCAGCTAGCCAGAGCACAAATGGTACCACAGAAGTCTTCTAGATCTCATTTCTGTGATTCAACAGAATACAAAAGCCTGCACAGTTTTCCTCTCCTACCACCAGCTTCTGCTACCGTTTGGGCCACTGTCATGAAGGGTGACCAGCTGGAGTCACAGCTCTAAGAGAAAAAGGCAAGGAACAGGCACAGCTGACCCCCAGCAGAATGAGATCCTTTTCCTTGGGAGAAGTGACCAGTATTCTGAATTATGGGGCTCTGTTTCTAGAGAAGACAGTTCTCAACTTAGTCAAACTACAGATAATCTGCAAGAGCCACTTACCTGGTCAATCCAATCCCATACTCTATCCTTCAAAATACTGCTCACTGGGGTATTTCCCTGTATCTTTGACACACAGCTCAGATCCACAGGCAAATCAGACTCTCCCAACCCAGTCTGCCGTGTCTGCTCTCCTCAACCCCCTCTAGTTACATTGCATTCTGGAAACATAATATCTGGGGCTGAATGCAACAGATGAAGAGCAACTACCCCAAAGTGGCTCTGGAGATGACCTTCCAGAGGCTAGATGTTTGGGGTTTTTTCACCCTTTCCTCCTTTTAAATTTTGCAGTGAAAGAGCAAAAGCAAGACCTCTATGAAGCTCTGTGCTGGGTGCTTTGTGGAGGTATCACTCTGTTGCTTGTTCATGTGCAGAACCAGCAGCTCACCATGTTCAAGAAAAAGCTTGAGCCCCTTCCCTGGACCATATGAAATTGCATCAGGCACATGACACAGCCCATTCCCAGTATCACTGCACCTGCCCCAGCAGGCAGCAACACCCAGCCATGACAGACTCTTGGGAATGGAGGGGACAATCTACCCAGCTGCTTGAAATAGCCACCTATTGCAAGACCTCCTTTTCTTCCTCCTCCTCCTCCTCACACCGTCTACATCAAAAATGCTGGACACAATAAACCTTGAAGCACCTGCTTTTCAAACCCTGCTGCATGGCCACCCCTCTCCAACAGGCTCTTGGTTCTCAGGACAATGAAGCAATCCTGAAAGCCGACAGCACAGATCCCGCAGTGGGGTCACTCCCAGCATCTCCCTCCATTATTTTGTTACTTTCTGCTCCTTGATCCAGCATCACACAGTTCTGAGGCACATCGCCAAATGCCTTAATTCTGTCTGTAATCTGGGCTAAAGCCCTCGTCGGGGGATAAAGACCACACAAAAGGAGAAATAGAGTCCTGGGAGATGTTAAAACAAGTAAACACCTTTGTGTCAGGAGAGAGAAATCGCTGATAAAGCAGATTAGCGCCTCGAGCCCTGGTGTCCCCAGATCAGAAGGCGAGCCCTGGCCGATCTTTGCAGCCAGCACGCTTCTATGATCACAGAGCTGGCGGCATGCTGGGGCCAGCCTGTTTCCCCACAGTCACTCTCCAAAGAGCAGATTATGTAGAATAACAATTTCTTTGTGGCTGTGTAATTCCCTCCGTGACCGTGGCTGTGGGCAGCTACATTGGCCCTTGATGCCAGGGCCCTAGCAACCATTTAGAGAGGCCAACCAGCCCTAGCAATGGCCCCCCCTGCAAACCTCTCGGACAAGCTTTAACATCAAGTGCATGAATTAATTCCCCCCAACACGAATCCAGGGGTGCTGGCTTATTGGACTTTGTGTTTCTCCAGGCAAGGGATCGAGGGGATTCCAGGCTTCAGCCCTTTGCAACCTTCTCACAATACATTAACCCTTGGAATGTTACTTGCAAACTAACCCAGCAGCAACTCTGCACCTGTTTGTGGGTTGAGAGGTTGAAGCACTTGTGGTGCCAACACCGGGAGCAAGAGCTGTGGAGCTTGGTTGGCACAGATAGGTCCTCAGATCCACCATGGAGTGAGACATGGATACGTATCTCTGAGCTCTGGCACTCCCCTGCCCCTCCAAGCACACAAATCCCCTCCATCTGCAGTTCTGCAAAGCCAGCAGGACAGATGGACATGCACACAGCCCTTCTCAAGTCTTCTGCAAAACCTCTTCTTCCTACAAGTTATATGTGTGGCCCAGAGTTGCAAGAAAATGCAGCAGAGGTATGAGGAGGAGTCAGCTGTTCTCCTAGACAAGAATCCTTGGACTACCTGTGAGTTGCATAAGGAACCAGACAGCTCAACTGGCAGAGTTCTCTGCCAGTTGCTCATGTAGGAGCAAAGAGTCACTCACAGGAGATGAGCTACCCCAGCAAACCCTAGGCAGCACCAGCAGCTTGGACCCCTCTCTCCCCCCTTTGGCATTCTGCTGCCTTTTTTTGGGGGTTTTGCAGGGTAGCCCCTGGACTGGTCTTCTGAGCATGTGGCAGGCACTTCAGGAGAGGAAATTGGGACAGGCAGCTGCACATGGGCCACACAGCACAGTAGCACATCTGGTGAATATTCTGCTAGCTGACATCTGCCTCTGTTAGTTCCTTTCCACCATTTTCCCTTCTAATACACCTTTAGTATGTAAAGGACTAAGTGAGCTCAGGGAGAGAGTTCTGTGCTAAGGAAAAGTAGCAGGATACAAAAGCATGTCTAGGGATATTTTACTCACTGGGACCAGCCCTCTTCCTCTTCTCTTGAAATGGGTCACAGCAGATCTCCTCAAAACCTCCCACCTCTAAACAAGCACTCATCACACCCAGGGGAAACCTGGCCACGCTAAAGCAAGTCTTCCATTCCCCAGACCTGATTTCAGTCTGCAGCACTGCAAGATGGTAGCAATTTTTAATGGAGGCCTGGTAATGTCTCCAAGTGAAAAATTTCAGCATCACAGGGACAGAAGAAACCAGAGAGTCCGGATTCCTGCTTTCAGAGCTTCCTGTGCAGCAATAAACACCACCCAGGTGCCTCACTCCAAGTGTTCCTCTGTGCCTCCACACCTCACTGCACTGGTACCCTAAGCATCCCAGCAGGGTCACACCAGTTTTCCTCCCTCCACTCCACTTCCCTTTCCATCCTAGGCAACAAAAATCAAAGAAAAGGTGGAAAAAAAGGGAGGGGAAAAAAACTATTCACTTTTCTCTGTAGGCAGGGAAGGAGCACAGATACTTTCATGTTACTGCAGCAAATTAAACATTACATTGCTGGTTTGTTGATTTGTGCACTTCTACCCCAAGAACAAGTCAGCCAAAGCAGCTCTCAGCTGCGAGGTGGAGCCCTTGGATGCAGCAGCCCTCAGCAGTTCACAGAAACAAGGTATTCTTTGCTACAGTGAAGCACTTACCATCTGACACCAGGGAAAAATTCTGCTGTGCTGTACACTGGGCACACAAACCAAAACACCCAAGTGTTCTAGCAGGGACATACTTAAGGTGATAAAGAAACAGAACATGATTAGTATTTCCCCCTTTTTTCAGCAGACTAAGGTGTCTCTGGACCAGCTACCACCATGCCAGACTAGCTCTATGAGCCAGCAGCATACACAGACATGCTAAGCCCATGCTGAGAAGCAAACTCCCTGCCACCACAACTCTTCCAGCCTTGGGATCACAAGTTAGTGCCCACAAATTGTCCAGTCTTTGTTATACCAAATACTCCCTGCCCTCAAACCCCAGACCCCAAAAGTTTTCACTTCCTAGGGAGCAAAATCCACACCTAATCCTTAATAACCCATAAAGGATCGAGATAACCCATGAATGGGCAACTGAAAAGCAGCAGCACATCACCAGTGGTTTCTAACAGCTTAAATGGACAGAAAACACCTTCTCCATGAGGGTCAGAAAGAGATGTCACCACTATCTTGAACTTCATTTATCAGCTCACAGAGATCAACAGCACCAGCCAAACACAGCAGGGAACAGCCTTCTCCTTTCCTTTGTGGTCCCTTTTTCTCCCAAACACCTTTCAAAATCCAGGTGGCTGATCCTCAGCCCTTCAGAGGCCCCCTCCTTGTTAGGGGCCATGAAGGTTAGTCAGGAAACATCTGTGAAGACCGAGCATGGAAGGTTCACACCACCTCCGCACCATGCCATGGCCCTCCAGCACTATCAAGTAGAGGCTGTTTCACTCCCAGGCCTTTTCCAGGCAAGTCAGGTAGTTGCCTGTGCATATGGTAGGAGCTTTGCTTGTTTTCTGTACTGAACAACCTCGGCCAGATAGTGCCCAGGTTCAGTCTCAGTGCTGGGTGACACCAACAGAGACACCTCTGCACCAGTGGAGCTCTGTGAGGCAGAATCACCAATGTGACAGTGTAGGTTTCCCAGAGAGACCAGTCCAGAGCCAGAGCTCTCAGTTTCAGCACTTTAACCACAAATCACCTGGGCCAACGCAGTGCCTGCAGGTAGGCCTCCAGCACTGAGGAGTCTCACAGATATTCCTAATTCTTCCTACTTCCTGTTAGGCATCTATACACACCAAAATAATATTGGCAATACTCTGGTACCAGCTCACAAGGATCAGAGCCAGAGGAAATCCAGCAGCCCATTTTGTCCCTAGCACAGGAAAGCTGTTGGCACCAGGCTCTGGACTCCTCGCTGATAGAATAAAATGTTAAAACAAAGTCTGTGTGCCTGGGAAATGTATCAAACTGAGAAGTCAAAAAATGAAAGCCATTTTGTTCAGACACTATAGAGAATTCTTTGATTCATCTCCATCAATTTCCATGTTCTTCAGAAAACAAGACTTTATGAAATTACTTTAAAAAAAAGCTATTTTTTCAGGATTTCCACATTTCATTCTTTTCTTTCCACGCTGGAAATCTAGCCATTAGCATTGCTATTCTGATACCTCCAGAAGACAGGAGCCTTCTTGCCTGGAAGCAAAGTGAACTACTAATGAAGGGAAGAAGCAGGCTGGTTTCTTTAAGTTCTTGTTCTTCTTTCTAAAAACAGCTAAAGTTCTATTCCTTCTCAGTGCACTAATATGGAGACAAAATAGGATCAGTCATGGCAGAGCTCAGATGGTTAGTTTCCAGATAATCCCTGGAATGTTGCTGTCA